GTAATATTGATCATCTTTGTCATTAAGATTTATGTTTATCGCTAGTTTTAAATGTTATTTCGAAAGAAACATATTTAGGGTTGCTTCTCTATACGAAAGTAGAGATATTTTAATCATTTCACACCAAACAAGGCGATAAAACCACTAAAATGCAAGGGGTTACAAAAACTGAAGGAGAATAAAAAAAACTCCAGTGAGGAGAAAGGACGATAAAAAAAACACGATTAAAAAAGATGACGATTGAAGATGCATTTAAATTTTTGAAGATAGCAGTTGGCAGGAAAGCAAGAATTTGGAAGAGATTTCCACATTCGAGAAGTGCGAGATAAAAAAAACTATTAGAATAGAACTTACGGTTATATGTAGTAAATTCAACAGTAAAATGATGAAAACCAGCTTTCAATTTCAATCTAGTACTTGATAAATTTCAAGTACCAAAGAGGAAAGTTCAACAGAAGAACCGCCATGAAAAAAATATATATATATATATATATATATATATATATATATATATATATATATATATATATATATACTAACTATTACACAATTATATGCATATATGACGTGTGTATCTAAAAATAAATACGTCTAAATTCACTGAATGCCATATCAGTCGGGTTTCGATGCCGACTTGGGGCAATCTGATGCCTAGCCACACTATAAAACAGCGAGTTCTCCAGTCACTGACATGGTATCTAAAATTAAATACGTCTAAATTCACCTTCAACCAGTCCATGCGCCAATGGCTTAGGGGTAGAGTCTCCGATTCCGGCTTGAGACAATCTAGCCAAACTGAAAACAGTCTGTCTCTGGATGACTATATATATATATATATATATATATATATATATATATATATAAACACACACAGATATATATATATATATATATATATATATATATATATATATATATCTCATTTAAACGTGGCTTATTAAACAATTTAGACATGTGTTTATTTTCAATAAAATCCTTTCGTAATCACCTATAATCATTCTTATTTCATGATTAAAGAGAGGAAGTTATATTATATTGTTATTATTCATTCATTTTTATTTTTCTCGGGTACTTTCGATATTTTCCAATATCATCATCAGGGTTTTGATGGTTAAGACAAATAACTGTATTTATCCGAAACAAATTTTTACTTTTGTGTTTAAACCGTTACCAATTCAGGTCATGCGCAAAGTCACAAATCCTGATTTAAAAAAAATATGCTGTAAGTGAAATTCTTCCTGATTCAATAATTACAACTGTAAATATGCTTCTGAACATAACGTCAATTTTAAAATTTAAAACAAATTTAAAGTAAGGATGCTAACTTAGTTAATAATTCAAATATTAATATAAGGTTATAATTCACTTTGTTTTAAACTGTTATTTAAAAAACTATAGACTATAAGCATTTGTACTATTTTTTAAGTGTTGCTTTTAATTTTTAATAAAGATACCTTCAAGAATTTGTAGTTTCTGCTTATTACTTTCTTGGTGAAGTATACATGTATTGTGCACTAATATTCTTCTAAATTGTGAATGTGAACAGGAATGTTTTTGTAGATGTTGAACAATGGTGGATATATCATTCTTATGTAGAGAAAGCCTTCTTGATGACGTGATTGTATTGTAACTACCATACATATTAACTTTTTTGTTGAAGGCACAATCTCCCAAGGGATATAAATATTATTTTTTTAATTGCTTGGGTTGAAACGATTAAAACAAAAATAAAGATCTAGATACCATAATTTTGTTTTCGTTCCTATCTATGTTAGTTTATTTTACCTGACTCCTGCGAGGCCTAAGTTTTTGTCTTTTTGTCGCTACATGGAGAGCCAAACGTCATCCACTATGCATGTCACTTTAAATCAACAAATACCCCATGTAAATGTATAAGTAATATATATTCAAATTTGCATTCATCTTCGTTTTGCAAGATTTTATATCGGTGAGGTATTTCCGTTACAATGATACATTTTTTTTTAGGATTCCTGAGGTTTTACTTAATAGATGTTCAGAAAAAGAACTATTTCCTTTTTTGTATCACCAATAATTTATTCTTATATGTTAATAAATGTTCAATAAAAAACCCTTTTCTTCAATGTATTGTAAATAATTTCTTCTTGTATCATATACCGTAATGCTTTGTGTGCAATTTAATATCAATAGTGGGATATGCTTTTATCGATTTTGTTGATTCCTATTTATAATATTCCTGTATACCGTAAATGAAGCTGCTAGAATTAAAATTCATTTGGTATTTCACCCTGTGCAAACAACATTTACTGTATATTGCGGTGTTGTTTAACAATATTTAACAGAGAACTATAAGATAAATTAATTCCCGTAAATATAGTGAATAAATAAATAAATATAAAGAGAGGAAGACAAGATAAGGAATATAACTGAAACTTATATGGTATATACATGCACCAGACAAAAGGGGTGGCGTTGGAAAAGCAATACCTCGCCGATGTAAACACGTGCGAACGAAGGTGAACGAAAATTGGAGAAAAAAAATAATAAACATTGGTAATTCATCATTTGTATAAGGTATTTGTAGATGTTTAGCAGCACACACAGTGAGTGGCGTTCTACCGTTCATGTAGCAAGAGAAAGACATTATAATTAATTCAATAGAATGATATTATTTCCTGATTAAATTATAATTACTTAGCTACATTACAATAGGTGTTCATTGACCAAAAAGTTAGGAATACTGTCGGTTGAAATATATAAAATATTCCTCTTAAAAGAGTTTTTTTATGAAAAGTAGTTTTCTTAAGTTCTTTCTAGTATTTTTCTTTTTTAATCATTTCACCGCAACCAAGGCAAGAAAGCCACTAAGGTGCAACAGGTTACTGACTGTTAGAGAATATGAGAAAAATTTACTATTAAGACCAAAGGGAAAAAAGGACAAGAATTAACAAGACAGAATATGTTTGATATTGCATTTAAACTTTTAAAGAGAAAATTTGACTGGAAAGAAAGAAGCCGAGCAAGTTTTCCACATTCGGGAAGTGGGATAGAAGAAACTGTTAGTATAGAACTTACGGTTATATCTAGCCATTTCAACTGTAAAATGATGTGAACTTGTCAAATTAGCACAGCACTTAAATTCATAAAGTCAAAATACCATAGCGAATAGTTTATGTGAACAATTAACTTGATTTATAGAAAAGGTACAGGGAAGATATGTTACAGCGGTAGGATAATGACAGGACCAATAATCTTGCCAATTTTTTCTTGCGTTTCATCAAGAATCTCTAAATATATAGCAGGAGCACCAAATCAGATGTGGCAGCAATATACAAAGCCAAGAACGAATGGTAGACTTATAAATACGTAAGATACATTCTGGTGAGAAAAATTGCAGGCTTAGCAATTGATTCAGTATAAGTTAGTCTTAGAAGGGCAATTAGTCACTTTCCTGAAAGTCAGTATCGAACCATGCTAATGAAAGATTAAAAGTGTTCCCCCAGACGATTAAAATAGAGAAGTTTCATTTTGGAGATGTGAGATTCAGGTTTGTTTTGTTTTACGGCATAGCAACACCTCATTTGGCTATTTAATTCCGACAAGAATTTTAGAATAGGTTCGTATGAACAGAATATGTATTCTTTGTAAGAAATCAGTTTGTAGATTAGGTTTCATTAAGGTATTTTTTGAAGACATTTTTTCGAAAGTCAAATGTTGTTTTTTTTTTAATTTTTTCAAAAATGTATTTCTTTTTCAAAAATGCATTGCTGGTATTCTTACTATAAAAACATATTTTTATACTTTCACGCTGTTTTCACCCCAGTTTGGTGGGGTAACTATTTTCCCATAGGTGAAACCCTAAATGTGCCACCAATCCGGGTCAATGTGAACATGGGAACACCGGCAATTAAGAGTTGGTTGCACGCTCCTCAAAACCTTCTGATCAGAGGCCTTGATAGTGGATGTAGTCTATTGTCATAATTGGAGGTGTTAGAATTAACAACACTACTGATGAAAGCGTCCTTCCTAACCTTTTGTTTAACCTTTTATGGAAAGTTAACATCATTATTTTCTAATTACACGTGCTAACTATTTGTTGGATATCTATGTGTCTGTTGTTATTTAGTAAAGTACCCTATGAATCTTTAATACTAGTCAAAGGTCTGATGAAGGATAGTCCTCAATGAGACCGTCACACTTTATTATCATTGATCTGAGAAAACGGTTGTATGCAATTATTAATTTAGTCATTTCTTATGATGCTATTTAAGAACATAACTCGAATTCTTATGTTGATATCATGTTTTTGCAGCATAGTGAAGTAATTGATAAAACTATCTTTAGTGAAGCGTATTCTATGCTCACTTTCTCTTAAATATATTATAGCTGCTCTATACGCCGAGACATTTGAAGTGTTTAGTATTTACTAATTCTATATCATAGATTTTTTTTATGATGAATTAAGGATAAGTGCCATCACAACTTTCCTTCTGATTTTCGATCATAATTCCTGTTACGGAAAACTTAGTCTTGAATCCTATTTCTTGGAATGTTTCCGAGAGGATGTTCATTTTTTTATTCTAGATCATTCTCATCTCAAGTATGAATAGCATATTATCTCACCACCAGGGAGAGTTAAGTAATAAAATATATATCTTTGGTGCATATTTTTCTTACGCCTTAAACACAATATATTCTAATCGCGAACGGGAGTGCAAATTTTACCCTGTAAGATTATTCGAAGAATTTTAGAAGAGACACCATTCCTTATAAATGCATTTCTAAAGAACTGAATTCCTTCTCTTTTGTATTTCCTGTGAACTTTGAAGTTTGGTTAGAACAAAAGTATTTGTCCATTTGTTCAGAAGCACATGAGCAAATATTTGACGTCTATAAAAATTTACAACAGCCGGAATGAATATATTTCATGCAAAACATCACTTTGCAGAAATGCATAAAATACAATGAAACAGTCATTTTCGTTATTTACAATCAAAATAATGTGCCCATATTTTTTACTACGGCCATATGAGAAAACGTCGGAACTCATCCGATCGCCGAAGTTAAGCAAAGCTGAACCTGGTCAGTATCTAGATGGGTGACCGTTCGGGAATACCATGTTCTGTAATGTTGGATGTGCAGATGGTGTAATGGATAACTGTTTGGAACGAAAAATCGAAGAGCCTCGTTCGAATTCCAGTCCGGTTCGTGCAAATACCCTTGAAGAAAATTATAAATCCACCTCTTAATTGATTCGTTTTCAACATTTTTTTCAGATTATTTAATGCCAGAAAATATTTTTAGATTGTAAGATTTATTTTTTTAGATAATAATGATTTAGTGATACAAGTCTAACTAATTAACCCATAGCTGGGGATAGAAGAGGTGGATTCATACCTTTCCCAAGGATATTTGTGTGTAAGTGAATATAACGAACCGAACTGGAATTGGAACATGGCTTCCCAAATTAACAATTCCGAGTTCTTATCCATTACACCATCCGCATATCCAAGCTTAGAGCACTTGATATTATTCGTAAGCAGTCACCCATATTGACCAGGCTCGAGCGGTGTTCGTACGAGACGTGATATGTCCGTGTTATGATGTTGATTTTGGGTTAGTAGAGACAAACGCCAAATAACACGTAACAATAAAAAGGGTTTTAATAGGTTGGTAAAAAGGTACAGAAATCGCCTGAGTAGTCAATAACTAGCTCAGCTAAGAACTTCTCTGTCTATCTTCTCCATGTCAACTGACATGCCACTATTTAAAGTCTTTGTTCACAGACGCAGACAAGTTCATCTTCAAGAGGGGTGGTAGGTTTCCGACACAACAGGACAGTGGAATGAGACCAAGTTAATTATTTACTTTCTTCAACCCTGACTTCTCTTCAACGCCAACGAACTCATCATTTCTCTCTTTTGTTTATCAACTGAACTTTTTTGCTATCCTTTTTCTCCATTTTTTCTCTATTGTCATTATTATTATTTTTTTTTCTTTTTCTCTTCCTCTATTTTCCTAACTCCCTGATTTCACTTTTCTTTCTTTCTTTCTTTCTTTCTTTCTTTCTTTCTTTCTTTCTTTCTTTCTATTTATTTTCGTCTCCCCTGCCTTTCTTCTCAATCATACACACCCACAAATCCGACACTTCATTTCCTTTTGTCCTTTTTGTCAATCATTCGAACAGCTTTCTGAAATCCTTTTAGATTCGACTCTTTGAGTAGCCTCATTTTGACAGCTTCGCATATATTGAAGAATTTTCATTTTCTTCTTTATCCCAAAAATCAGAACCGCTTTCCGTCTAACCGTTCTTCCTCCGCTAGGAATCGCAAATACACTTCTTTTTTTTTTGTTGACCCGAAAGGTTAACTTTTCTTTCACCAGAATGTCGCCATTATTCCATAATTATTCCTATGCATACAGTAACAATAGATTTTGTGCAAACTGCAAAGATTTGCATGTGTTATTTTTCCAACTATAATGATGACTGGATTTATAAAATCATTTCTCCCCAGTCAATCAGCCAGTTATGTGCCATGCGTGATACACGCTTAGGCCATCATGTATCTTTTGATACATGATAGACGAGGCAATTTTTTTTTTCCCCGCAGTAGGTTGCCATTTCTTTCTGCGGTAGACCAGTTGCCATCCAAGGCTATAAAACCAGGTCTGTCCTGCTATTTACCCATAGGCGGAGAAGAACAGTGTTCATACCTTTCCCAAAGGTATTAGCAGGTAAGTGAATGTAATGGATTCGACTCTCCGATTCCTCAATCCGAGCCGCTATCCATTATTCCACAGTGCCTCTCCCCAAGCCATTAAAGCCATTAAGAGACAAGGGGTTACGGAGAGCAAAAGAAACTGAGAAAAACAATAAAATACATTATTCAGAGACAAATGGCATTAAAGCAAGAAATTGGAAGGAGGTTCCACATGTGAGAAATGCGAGAAAAGAAACTGTTAGAGTAAAGGTGACGGTTGCATCTGGTTATTTAAAGAGTTTTTTTTTTTTGCCAATCTAGTATCACGCTTAAATCCCTGTAGTGTAGATACCAAGGAGAAAAAGTCATGAAAACAACTGCCATGGAAATATATGTAAAAAGAAAAGACAGAGGGAAGCCACGTCACGTCGGTGAGAAAGTGACTGAAGCCCAGATGTCAGATAAGGATCGATTACATTACAGACCCTTCTTTGAATTTTGTCAAGCATTTCGAGATATATAGACAGAAGCACATGATCAGATGTGGCAGCAGTATTTAATGCACGAAGGAATGGTAGATTTATAAATGTACAAGATGGATTCTGACAAGAAACATTTTCTGCTACGACACTGTGAACCAACTTTCCTTGCAGTAGACGATTTAGTATCATTACCCCACTTCATGTCATTAGAAACGGCGAGGCCAGAAAGGTGGACGGTATTGGTTTCATCGCATACGCCATACTGATGACAGACAAAAAAGCTTCTCTATAGTGATTAAATGAAAGCAGTTTTGTTTTGGAGGCATCAAATTTTACAAGCTATTCCTACACAATTTAACCACTGATTGGAGATCCTTTTTTGATCCGTTGCCAGTTTTACTTTCTCAGTTCTGTTCGACTTGCTACTAGGACAACAGTAAACAGTTCAATCGTCTGCAGAAAGACATATTTGGGAACTAATGGCATCGGTAAGGTCGTACTACGCTTAAATTAATGAAACTATCAAAGAGGAAAGCTCGTCAGAACAAATGACATGAAAATATTTGTAGAATAGTCACAGGGAAGCTACGTTACGGCGATGGGAATGTGACTGAAGTTGAGATGCTACGTCAAGACCGATAACATTGTAAATACTTCTTTGGGCTTTGTCAAGAAATTCTAGATACTTAGCAAAAGTACTAGGTCACATGTCGCCAGAAATATTCAATACACAATGGAATAGTCGACTTACAAATGCGCAAGTTAGATTCTAATGAGACAAATATCTATCTCGACACACTGAATCAATTTTCTTCGCAGGTGACTTAGCAATTGGCTCGATAGATTTAATAAATTTATGTAATAGAATATGGTTGTACGAGGATTTTTTTTTCTCGCTCGATTATGTTACCTCTTCTAATTAACAGTGATCGTATTGGAGAGAATGATAGTTGTGATGGAAATTCTTCTCTATGCTAGTTCGAATTGCAGTTGGGTTCATTAGATTTACTTACGAGCGACTAAGGTCTGGAAAGATATGAATCTATCTTTTATTCTAAGATATGGATTAAATAATAGGGATTGTATCTGGAAGAACCATTGTTATTCTAAATAAATTTTGAATGCAATCACTTGTAAAAAAAATAATTACTTTTTACAATGCAAAATATGTTGGAGTTCTTAAATAACACACAAAGGGATGCTAGGCCGTAAAAAACAAATCAGTCTATAGTGTATTCTAAAATCTGTTATTTTTCAGATTATTAGTTCTTTGATGTTATGGATGACCCCCGGTCAGAGACAAGGTACAAATCGAATTGTTTATTAAATGATCTGCAATCACAGAACCGAAAGAATTCAGAGGTTTATGCAAATTTTCATAATTGCCTTGGACGGATCGTTTTCACCAGATATTTTTTTTACCATAATCAGCAGAGCACATTCGGATTACCATTTGAGGTTTTTTGAGACCATCTATGTTATGTCTAAGCAGCCTTCCCCAGCGGAAAGAATAGCGCCTGGATCTAAATGTAATCTGTCAGGAAGTTATACTGCTGATTCTCAGGTAGAATTTTTTCTCCTTTTTTAGTCGTTATGCAAATATTTACATGTTCTTGACTTCTATTGGCTCTGAGAACGAGGATCGATAACCAGGTAATCCTTTTTTTATTTCTTATTTATTTATTTTTCGATCTATCACTTTACAATGAATATATTTTCTTATCTTTTGCCTTCCCTCCATTTGTGTTATATATTTTTGTATATATTTAAAATATGTATATTTAGGCAGCATATCTTCCTTCAAAGATGTTTCATTGAATAATATAGACATATTGTGTCTACTTATTTTCATACTGGCCTTTTCCAATTGTTTAATGAAATTCACCAGAAAAAGGCGCCGTAGCTATTTTTAAACCAAGTACTTTCGAACTTTTCCAAGATTTACTTCAGGGGTAAATTACAAAGACAAACATATTGTAACTGCGATATCCTGTGTATTTTTATTGAGAGTCTTCAATTCGTCATTTGCAAGTTTTGATTTTTAAGTTTCCATTTATAGTTATTAGTCATTTGTCTTTGCAATTTACTCCTGAAGATCTTAGAAAAGATCGAAAATACGTGGGTTAAAAAAAAACTACTATTCTTGATGGATTTCATCTTAAAATCAAGAAACTGATAAGACACCTGGAAAGGATCAATATAAAAATAATTACATACAATATGTTTATATTATTCAATGAATCGTGTCCGTATATATTTATATATGCTTTTAAAATGTATTCTTTTAAATGATTAATAAAATGTTGTACCTCCATAGATTAATTAAATCCCAGGAAAAACTTTTCATTCCCATATAGAACAGAGAGTTAGGAGAATCTTTTACTTCCAAAATGGTTCATTAGCTTTTCTTTCACATTTGAAATTTTTGACAAAAATGAAGTACCTTCTTCCTGTTTCTATGAAGTTGGCACATCTTTAAAAAATATTCGGAAAACATATGTCTATTTCTCCTTGATAATCGCAACTGCTATATACCATGTATGGCTGAGTGGTTAGAACCTGGGTTCGAATTTCAGCATATCAAATTTATTATAGTAAACTTTACACAAAAGAAAACTCAGGAGTTATTCACGGTAGAGTGTTGCTGTTAAAATGCTTCTAATGAATGTGTGATATGATTGAAATAGGGGCTTATCTAGATAAGCAGGATACATAGTGATTGAGGTTAAGATTTTTGTGTTCTGGGAAGAATCCAGGCGGAAGTCTTTTAGGGTTTATTGAATTTATTGATCAGTTTTCTAATATTAGAATAACTTTTCTCAAATGTGACTTGTGCATATTTAGAAAATCGCCAAATTTGTATTAGTTCCAAAGCTTTTGATTTTCACGAGTCTTCTTTAAGGCTGTATGCAGATAGAAGAAAAGAAAATCAAATGTATTTTAAG